TGACCAACACAATCTGTAATCAATGAGGCACATACTGACTTATTTTTGGTATTCTTTGGCTTTCTCAATTATCCAGCACGCATCAGCAATAGTGTCTTTATCAGCCTTTTCTAAAGCCAGCTTGAACATCTGGCATCTCCCTTTCCATACAGGGCTCTAATCTGTGTTGGATGATTCTAAGCATTATTTTGCTAGTATGTGAAATTAAGGATATTGTATGACAATCTGCATACTGTTGCTTTATTTGGTATTAGAATGTAGGCTGGTATTTTCTAATCTGTTGGCCATTGTGTTGTTCTCCAGATTTGCTGGCATAGCTTGGCTAGAAAATTTACTGATTCTTCTTCTGTTTCTTGCCATCAGTTTCTCACTTGATAATGATCAGACTGCTGATCTAACTTCATCTTCTAGTACTAGAGGTTCTTGTAAATAAGGATTATCTTCTAAGGTATCTTGGAGGTTGATATTGCAAGACAAATACTGGCTTATCATTAACCAGTGTTTATGTATTTTACAATGTAGCTACCAGAGTTATAAAGTCATGACAACATGCTGCAAAGGAAATTTGCTTTGAAGCTTTAATTATTTTTATTTATTAGTTTCAAAAGTGGTGAGTCAAGTTGCTTATCTCACTGCTTACAGGTATAAACACTGACCATAATGGCCTGGCTTCCTATGTGTTCCCTAAAATTTAATCAGCTATGTATTTTATTATGTTTACCTGGTTTATATGCCACTCCAATCCAGCATTACTCTGAGCCACCTGTATTCCATTCTTAAAGAATAAAACAGTAAAAGCAATACAAACTAACAATAAAAAAGCAGCAAAAAATTACAAAGAATAATGCCAGCCCAGCCCAATTTATACCAGATCTACTCCAAGGACTTTCTTAAAAAGTCAAGCTCAACAGTGTAGGGACTAACCTAATCTTGGGAGGTAAACTACAGTATTCCAAATAAGATGGGCTACAATTGAGAAGACTCAACTCCTTAGTCCCTGTAAATGACATTTCCTAAGGGTAGGAAGCTGGACTGAGCTTCCTTTACTCGATCTTATCAGATGGGCATAAACTGCTAGGAGTTGGTGGTCTTATAGATATCCAGACCCAAAGCCACATAAGGCTTTCAAGGTGACAACGATCATCTTGAATTGTACCAGAAGCCAACTGGCAGTTAGTGCAGGGATGTTACTTGAACAGCTGTATTCCAGACTGGCTGAACATTCTGGATAGTTTTCAAGGACAGCCCTGTAGAGCAAATTGTAATAATCCAAACTGGAGATGACTATGGCATAAGTAGTGGTAAACTGGGCCTTCTGGTTCAGGAAAGGTTGTAACTGGTACACCAGATGTAACTGTGCAAAAGCTCTCTTGGTCATAGCTACCACCTGGTTGTGGAAGTTTAATAACATTTTTGATACTGGAGATGGCTTAGGCATTGATAAAATCATGTCACAAGTAAAGGCTGACCCTGGAAAGAAGACAGATAACAAAAACCAGACTGTTGTCTTTCCTAATGGTGTGAAAGAAGGTAGTCTGTGGGCACAATAAATGTCATTGTTTATGGTACATAATGATAGTATCTAAAACAGGAATAGTATCCTGTTTGTATAGAAGAATGTAGGGGCACCATGTAAGGTCAACCCCAAAGTATTATCAATATTATACATTCCAGTTATAGAGGACATGGTCTTCAATCAAGAGTTGTGGGTCCTGGGCTATCACCCTTATTTCTACAGCATTACTTAGCTTTAGTGCAGCAATTGATATATTTACTGAAAGTAGATAAATATGTATATACAGCCATGGAGATGACCTTGGAGAAATTATTCAGAGATCATTACAACAACATGTGCAAAAACACGTGCTGAGACCCAGAAACCAGAAAAATTTTAGGAAGAGACTCAGGCTGGCCTCTTCCTGACATATAACAGGGAGTAAAGGGAAGATGCAGTCAGGATTGTTACAACAGCCTATTGCCATAAAGTATAGTTCTGGTCATCTTCTGAAGTCTGTTTCCTGAACTAGTTAGCCTTAAAAAGCTGTCATCAGTCTTACAAGCCTGATGTCTTCCCTTTCCTCCCCTTCATGGCCCAGGGAATGAGGGAGGGCCTAATCTTGAGTCTTTTCCTAAGACTTCCCCGTTTCCTGGGCTCAGTGTATGTTTTTGTACAAGTTGTTGCAATCATCTGTGAATAGTTTCTCCAAGGTCATCTCTGTAGCTCCCTATAAAGTGTCATTTTCTCAGTGACGTATCAACTTTTGATGCCATTATAAATATGATCTTTGACAAGATTTGAAAATTTATAGGTTAGACATAGGCAATGTGGTCCCTGCAGACCCCAGTGCCTTTGGACACCTCCTTGTTCCTTACCTGGCTTATCTCTTAGATTTTTAAAATTAAATCAATAAATAAGCCGGCACATTGCAAAAGGAAGCTCCTGCCTCCATCTTCATCTTTATTTCAAACAAAAGCTGTAAGCCCACTTAAACTTCATATTTATTCCTAAAAAATAAAATAGTGAATGACTGCAGCTCAATACATCTGCCTATTTGATCAGGGGGGAAAAGGCAAGCTGAACTAGATGCCTGATGAGGGCAGTAACAGAGAAAGTCAATGATAAATGGATATTCTGCGACTGTTCAACATAACAACCATTTTTGAAAGAGACAAGCCCAAAGCACGGCAGATATTTTGAATGTGCCCACAAAAATGTTTTCAAAATTCCATTGCCTCCATCTCAAAAAGGCTGTGCATCCGTAGGAATGTGCTGTTCTAGAGCCCCTTAGAGATCCAAAGATGCTCAGACCACCATCTTTTGAGCCCCCAACTATTAGTAAAAAAATGTAAAGGAAAAATTAAGAACAGAAAATAAGGCATTAAGAATGAGAAATAATTCAAATACTTTATCTTCAAATCCCCAGGTGGCTAAAATTGAAGCCCCTTTTCAGTTTGAGTCTGAGACTAAAGGGGCCTCAACTCCCACTGCAGATTTGTCCTGGCTGGTAGCAAGAAATTTTAAATATGCATTCAGGTGTTTGGAGTCCTGGATTCCAAAAAGCTGAAGCTGACTATTGGATCATGATCCTTTTCTTCCTGATCTGCTCTCTGGCATTTCATAAATTATAACTTTAATTATTTATTAGTTTTAATTATTTATTTTCTGTTCCTCCCCTCTATTCCATGCCCAATCATATTTTAAAATATATTTCTAATTTTATTGCTGTAAAATATCAGGTGTTGCTCCAGTATTTTAGAAGATTTTAAAAACTTGACAAAAAATGCATTAAGTTTCTCATGGTTGGATGAAATTTAATAACAGTAGTTTATATTACTGCAGTTCTGTAACATTTCAAATTGCAAGGCAAGATTTCTTAAGATAAATAAATTATACACACCCCCTGGCTTTTCAGAGTTATCCATAAAGGAAAGACATTTAACTGAGATTGTGTATGGTAACTCTTAGGTACACCCTGCATCAGGTTCTCAAAAATATAAGGGATCATGGAGAAATATAATAATGCATTCTGTAAATCATATTTACAGAAAAATGTATTGTCAACATTATTTTAAAAAGAAGCATTTCTCAACTATATTTTTCTGGCCTTGCTATAGTATATAATCTGTATAAAAAAGGAACTGGTAACAGAAAAAGTAATTCAGGAGAATAAGAAATTACATACTGTATACTCTTTTCAAAAAATGCCCAGCAATATTTATTAAATGATTCTCTGGAGAAAAAAGTTATAAAACTGGGGATTACCAACACATTCACATGACTTAACTATGCTTATTTCCACAATGACTGGATTTGTTCAGTTGACCACATTAACAAAAAAAGTAATAAATATGTAGTAAGTTGATCACAACAATAATGTAGTGCTTTGAAGCTGATATTTAAAATCAGAGGTAGCCGGAGGGATGTTCTGTTAGCAATCATACTCCACCAAAAGAAAGAAAAGCAGCAAGGCCGAGAAAGGCATTTGCTATGAACTCAACCACGACTACAGAAGATGCCTGGAAACTGGCTGCAATTTAAGCATCTTTCAGATACATCCTAGTTATAGTACGGTATCTTTCAGATAGTTAAATTTTACGTAAATTGTGAATCGCATATTTCTTTTTGTCTTAAAATATTAGATTAGGTTTGCAGAAGAATATAGGTTAACAATTCAAAAAACCAAAATGCCTCAAGGCAGTCTTTTGAAGTGGGTCTGCAGACTGTAATTTCTAATTATTGTTTGGAAGAATCACAAATGGACAAACCATAGATAAAATCTGCTCCTTATCTGGGGTCTACTGCCCCACCAAAATGGAGCAAAACTAAAAAATAAATATAAACAATTGTGGTTTTCTGAATATGTTTTGAAATTCAAATCATAGCTTTGGTTTCAAATCTTAATTCAGATTTAGCATAATGTCTGAAATGGACCAATGGACTATAAGTTAAAATGACTATAAGATAACATTACTATGAAATATAAGTCTGCATTTTCTGTAACCAATCATTTCCCCAATATTTTTATTAATTTGCACATCCCAATATCAGTAAAATAAATGTATTTGTTGGGCAAGTATGTCTAGTACAGAATACCTGGTTTCACACAGCACATTAGAATACAATGTGGGTTTTAAAAAATGCAATTTTGAAAACATATGTAGTTAATGGAATAAGGATTTGGCATCTCTTCCCACTTTCCCCCACAAGAAAATATCTGTATAGCAGATGCTGCTGTGGATATTTGTCCATCCTTAACACTCTGCTTGTATCAGACTTTTACTTAGCGCTATGTTACTGAAGAATTCAAGGACTTTTTAATCACGTTTCTATAGTATTGCTCTTGGAATGCTGAATTCTCAAAAGAAGCCTTCAAACTGTAAATATTGGCTTACTCCATTCAATGGTAGAACTCTATTTTGAATGAGTCATAATACAGTTGTGTGCATGAAACAACAATCAAAAATTCAACATATAAAAACAACATTATACTGCAACATACCTCATTGCCACATTGCTGCCATCAATAACTATTGGTCTCAGGTTATCACCATCCACAAGCACATCCTCCTGAAGGGGAGAGTCAGATCTCTGAGAATCAACTGAAGATGCTTCTCGCATTACACTAGTGTTAACAGAACTTACGCTCTGATCTGCCTCAGTTTTATTTCCAAGTTTGACAAGTTCCCCTAATATATCATTGATTAAAGCATCAGTACCAAGTTTATTCAGCACAAGTTGAACTTGTTCTTCAGAGTAACCTAACTTAAGTGCAAAGTCAAGTTTGGTTTGATATTCTTTCACCATATCAGGAGGTTTTTTAATTTCTTTAGATACTATCTGAACTTCCTCTAACTTAAAGTCTTGTAAAATTTCATTGCGCTTTAATATATGTGGTTCTAAACATGGATACGTCTGTCTGTGGTCCTTAGATAAGGAGCATGGTTCTGTTCTAATTTTAGTTGCTTTTCCCAATTCATTATCAGAATTTGTACTTTCCTCAGAATCGCAACTGAAGCTTCCAGTTTCTTCAGACAGTTCCTTCTTAGGATCCTCCTTCCTAGAATTAATTTTATCCATAGTTGGTTTTTCTATTATTGACCAAGGTGCTATTGCACTTATTTGAGTCTCTGACGTATCCTCATAGAGGTGCCCAAGGTCATGCTTCAAGTGATCCTTCAAGCCCATGAAGCTGCTGCATGTGGTTGACTCCACTTTGTTGGTTTTTCTGTGTACAAAGTATCCTGTAGTCCTAAAGAAGAAATAATAATGTTAAAACTAGATTTTTAAAATGTACTTTGCAATTTTCCTAAGATTCGATTTCTCTTTTTAATATTTGATTCAAATTATCTTTTCATCACCTCGTTATGAAATGCCTGACATGCCCTGTAAGCAAATATAAGATCGGAAAGGTTCTAAAATGAATATTCTGAAACTAACCCTATCCGATCCCTTTATGGGATTTCAATCAGATGTTAAATCTTCAAGCCAATTAAGCTTTCTAGTATCTCAACAAGGAAGCTCACCAAATAGATGAAATGGTCATAGAAGAGTTTATTTAATCAATTTATATAGCTGCCCATCTCACCACAGGCGACTCTAGGTGGTGAAAAAGCTAAAAACAGTAAAATACATTAAAAATATATAAAACAAAATAAAACAGAGAATAAAAAGAAGTAAAAAATAAGGGAGCCACTTCAATAATTCCCCCATCCCCTGGGGTCCCCAGGCCTGCTGGCATAACCAAGTCTTAAGGGACCTCTGGAAGCTCAACAATGACAAGGCCAGTCTCACCTCAGGGGGGACAAGGTTCCACAGTGCAGGCGCCACAGCAGAAAAGGCCCACCACCTGGGGCCTATCATATGTAGCTCCCTAGGTGACAGAACCGGTAACATGCCCTCTCTGCTGGATCTGGTAGGACAGGCAGATGAAATCAGGGAGAGGTTGTCCCTCAGACAGCCAAGCCCCATGCCATGAAGGGCTTTAAAGGTCAACACCAGAACCTTGAATTGGACCTGGAAAAAACTGGTAACCAATGCAGCTTACGAAGCAGAGGTGTAATGTGTGCTCTACTAGAAACACATGTAACTGCTTGTGCTGCTGCATTTTGCACCAGCTGAAGTTTCCGGATACTCTTCAAGGGCAGCCCCATGTAGAGCTCACTGCAGTAATCTAACCAGGAGGTGACCAGGGCGTGAGTGACTGTGAGTAAGTCCCTCTGATCTAGGAATGGGTGCAACTGGCACACAATACGAAGTTGTGCAAAGGCCCTCCTAACCACAACTGCCACCTGCTCTTCGAGCAGCAGTCACGAGTACAGGAGGACCCCCAGATTGTGCACAGGGTCTATTTGGGGCAGTGTGACCCCATCCAGTACCAAAGATGGTAAAAGCCTAGAATCAGAGGGGCTCAAAACCCAAAGCCACTCAGTCTTGTCAGGGTTCAGTTGAAGCCTGTTGTTCCTCATCCAGATCCTCGCAGCCTCCAGACACCAAGATAGGATGCCCACAGCATTGCTTAAGTCACCAGGGGCGGAGATGTACAATTGAGTATCATCAGCATACTGATGATACCTCACCCCATGGTGACAGAAGAGCTCACCCAGTGGTCTCATGTAGATGTTAAATAGGAGAGGTGAGAGCACTGACCCTTGCAGCTACCCACATAGCGGCGAGCGGGGCAGGATCTTTCCTCCTGTCAGGCCTAGCCCAAGGAACTCCAAGAGACAATCCCAATTCAGTCCAGCTATGTTTATT